TAATATAAAAATTTATATAAAATTGGTTTAAAATATTGTAACTAATTAAACTTAATTTATATCTTAAAGATACATATTAAAAAATTTCTAAATAATTAATTAAGGATTTCTTAGATTTGGTTAAAACATTATTAAAGATTAAAAAAAGATAACATTCCCGCTATCTTTTGACCATCGTGGAAGAAATGGCAAATCGGCTGCGCTGGCCACCCTCCGTGACCTCCCATTGGGGCTATCTTTATAATACAGTAATGTTTAAAAAAATAATTGAATGGAGTAACCTTTTTCTAAAAAAAAATTAGAATCGAAAATAAGGGGACTTCAAGTTTTTTATAATTTTTTATTATACTAAAAACTTCAATTTGAAATTTAAAACTTACTTTAAATTGAAGTTTTTAATTGTGAAAAGTAACATTTTGAAAAAGAAATACAAAATCATCAATCATGCAATGTAGTAATAAAGTTACTTATATTTTTAATTACAAATGTAGAATCTAATCCTTAAGCTTTATATATTGATGCTTAATGAATTTTATGGATGGTAAGTTTAAGGTTAAAATACTAATTTAGTTTTTTAACTTTGAGATTTACATCAAAATTGTTATTAAACTTCAAAAAATATTAAAATTATTCCTAAACTATAAGTTTTGATATCAAAATTGTCTTTTTGTTAACAAAAATATCACGTGACTTATTATTTTGTCACAAAATCTATTCTTTTTTAGAATATTAATGACATATAAAATCAAATAATCATATTTTACTATCATAATATATTTTTAATTACATATCAAATTGATATGTAATTAAAATTAATTGACTAAATTGGTACTTATAATCAAAGTTCAAGATCTAAGTTAGTACTTGTCTTCAAAGTTTAAGGACTAAATTAATACTAAATTAAAATTCAAGAATTATTTTGGTATTAAAAATTAAAGTTTAAAGACAATTTTAGCACTTTTTAACATTTGAGGACAATTTGAGTACAAATCTAAAAATTAAGGGATTAAATTAGTATTTTAACCTAAGTTTAATCAGTAAAGGCTATATTGATATTTCCATGTAAAAAAGAGAATATTCCTTTGGTTTTTAATTCATTTAAGAATAAGAATTTAAAAAGTGGATTAATTTCAGGTTTGTTTCTTTGCATGAAGCTGAAAACGAAAGCTGTCCTTCCTCCGTCCGGTTGTTACGTTGTTCTCAGTGATAGGGGCACGTGTCATGAGCAGTAGAGACCATAGTACTTTTAGATCTCCAATTCAAGTCCTTGATCATTATTGGTTTTTTTCCACTGCCTATTTTCAAAAAAAAAAATTATTATTGGTTTGCTTGTAATTTCATAATGGATTTAGGTGTTTTATTATTTTTTTAACCATTATGGTGTTTCTAAGTAAGATTTTATATAATTCGAGATTAGTCATGTTTTAGTCTAAACAAAAACAATTTATTTATTAGAAGATTAAAATATTTATGAAGACCTACTTTTTTTTATCAACGCTAAAAGCATAACTTAATGATTAAAAATTGAAATTTTAAGTTTGAGATTTTAAATTTAACTTTTGAGTTGAGTAAGGAGGAGTTTGATAATAGAAAAAGATTATCTCTTTTTATATAATTTATAATTATATATACTCAAAAAATTACTTTATTATCATTTTTAAAAGATCAAATCTTCACCAATAAAATCAGAAAGAGGTTTGATCCATTACCAACTTCACTACATTACCTTGGCATTGCTATATTGATATTTATTTGAATTATCTTGTAACTCACACTCTCTCGTCGAAAAATATCTTCCTAATAGTTTTTTTTTTTTTTTTATAATTGGTTGCGTAATAAGAGATAACCTTCTTTTATCCCTTATTATACTCCACTCACATATTATGTGACTTGAATTCAAAATTTTTTATTTTTAACTGAAAAAAATTATCATTGAATAACTTAAATCGTTGATTTTCCTAATAGTATTATATTAGAGTTTATTGTTTTATATTTCAAATGATATTAAATCGTAAAACAAAAATTATTAAATGAAAGAGAAAACATTTAATACTAAAAAATTTATCTCTATCTAATGATTAAAACTAAATAATTTAAAGTAATTCAAATTATATAATTTTTTTATTATATAAATGGTAAAAATATAAAATTAGGGTTGAAATTTTTAAGCAGAAGTTGTAGTAATAAGTAGAGGCCAACCAGCAACGTACTCTGGGGGGATCAAAAATGATACGCTGCCATTGGGATCCATAAATTTTCATGAACAAGCAATTGATAACTTAAGTAAACCGGAAAATTTTTCATTCAGAGAAAGATCGGAATGGAAATTGACATCTTTTCAAATACAACTTGAACAGTGTAATTAGATTCTTGCTGCTTTAATTTTCTTCCAAATTGAAGAGTTAAACAACTTGAAACCAAAATTGTGCCGTCGACTATCTGACGACTTTCAACGTCACTGATGATGTTTGTTGTCTTCTGGTGTTTAGAAGCTTCAAATTTTATTTACAAATTAAATGTATGAGAAACTGGGCTTTTTCAGTCTGGATTAATAAAATAAAAATGCATGGTCTTCAAATTTCACAGACAAAGACTGTACATAACAAAAAAAAAAGTATTGTGTCATTTAAATTATATTAAATTATATAATATAAATTATTAATAAAAATAAATTATTTAATATTAAGATTATTCCCTCATTTAGTAATTCATATTTTATAATTTGTTTTATCTTAGTTGTACAATGAGAGACAATCATCTCACATCATTTATCTTACCCTACTTATATGTCATGCAACTTAAATTCAAAATCTCTTACTTCCAACGTAAGGAGATGATCATAAAACTATTTAAATCCTTAGTCATATTTTATAATTTAATATAATTCAAACAGTAAAATAAAAAAACTGTGTACACAAATCTAAATTTAGAACACATTTTCTTTTTTCCTTTCTAATAGGGAACCAGATGATGACTTATGTACAAGTGAGGATTCTATCTGAATGTCATTAATTACCTTTTTGAACAAAAAATCAAGACCGGTATGCTTTTTCCAACCTAGTTAGGAATATAAATGATGATATGAGATATCCAGTGGCATGAGAGACTAATCATTTGGATCTTGGTTGGCCCAGTTGGATTCTTTCCTCAACAAAAAAATCACAAAAAAGACTTGCTCACTTAATTGAGTTATAAGAAAGGCGAACATTTTTCCAATTGGTCACCTTCAAGTGAAGGTTCTACATAAACTTTTCTTTCTCTTAGGTAGATTTGGGTCCATATATGAGCCATTAAGTCACACCACACCAGTAACCAAAATAGCTTCTAATTTTTCAAAAAAAAAAAACCTTTTGTGGTTTCTATGATCTTCTGCATTTAATGTTGTTTTGCCTTTGGAAGTTGACACCAAATCTAATATGGAAATGATGTTGTTACGATACTACTTAAGATTGTGACCTCATATCATTGCATAAACAAGTTAATGCATATAAAATTAGACGTGGTTTTCTTAAAAAAAAAAATAGAATCATATTATGATATGTTATGATCGTAAATTTACAATATCACCTAACATTATAAGTATGCATTTTTAATCTAATTCAATGCTTCTAAATGGAATTCCTTTTTTTTTTTTTGTTTCCTATTTTCTCTTTTCTAAACTTGACTGTATTAAAAGGGATGAGTGTTATATCTTACTGTACATCTCACAGTTAGGTGTAGTAAAGAAAAAGATTGTACTAGCATTATCTTAATGTTATGAGTGGGCCAAATGTAGAAAATGATGCCCTAGTAATTGGGTTTACAAAGTCATGGAGGACAGGTAAGTTTGAAATTGAGTGAAGTTGGATGGGAAGAATAAATGGAAAGCATGCAAAGCCCAAGATAATCTTAATTAATCCATTATTACCCTAACTGATAGAGATTCAGCTTACCTTAAAATAAAAGAAAAAGCCTTCAAAACCTCTGTTTTTAGGTATAACCCTTTCACTTTAGGTTGCGTTCAAATCTTCCCTAGGGTTCCCCTTTTGACTTATGGACACTTGGAACATTAGAACAAGTATTATGAAGTGCTTTAATTGACTAATCACTTTAGTTTCAATCATGGAAACTGTTTTTTATTGTTGCAAAAGAGATTTAACTCCTGATTTTGATCTTAAACTTTGGACTTTGCAAATTCGCATGCCGCATGCTATTCAAACTTATACGCTCTAAACATTTTTTTTCTTTTATTGAGGTAATTTTTGGACCTCTATTTGATTAACAAAAGCCTAAGTTGAAGGGTGGCACCAAACCTAATTAGGGAAGAATGATTGCACCTATTATTGTAATTAGCCAAGTCCTGTTTTGACAATCATAACGTTCTAAAGTCAAAAGCATGCATTATAAATGGATGGTGACCATTTTCTAACCAATCCTCTTATTCATAAACTACAATTCCAAATTAACATTATATTATTTGCCAATCACCCTAGCATCATTCATTCAATTACCATTATATAATGAATGCAATGAAGAGCACTAGAGAAAAGGAATCTAGCATATAATATTTTGGCCAACTAAAACTAATACTATGACTTTTTTTTTTTTTTGGGCCAACTAATACTATGACTATAAATCAACCATTTTAATACATTGAATTTGAAAGAAAATGGGGAAGAAAAAGAGATGGGGCTTTTTTTACCAGATTTTGGAATGGATTCATAAATTGCAAATACAAAAGAAGATTTCACTTATCTTTTCAAAGTTCTACTCTTTTACCAATCCGAGGAAATTTCTTCTACATTAATTTCATGTTCATTACTTTACCAGCAAGAAATGGGTGTTTTTATCTTTGCCATTCCTCTGCAGCAGATTAATTATAATTATACTTCAGGATGATGGTATTTTGTTTCGGTGTTATGTGGGTAATTGAAGGCAGTGGGCAAAAATTGGATACAACATAAGGGGTTTGGAGTGATACTGAGAATATCCTGAAAATATACATTGATGAAAAATAAATGGCTTGGAAAATCTTAGCATATTCTATAATGTTGAAAAGGACCAGAGGTTAATACATGCCAACATGACATGGTATGTTGCACTTTGGGTAGTAACACAATAGTGTAGTGATACTAGGGACAAAAATTTGGAATCAATAATATAGCAAAAGTTATATTTTTAAATGAATTAATACATATAATAATACGAATTTTAATAAAATGAAAAAAAATAATTATTAAATAATAAAATATTATTTTTTAATATTTTAAGAGTAATAATAGAGACAACGAATTTTGGGGATGGGAATGCAAGACGAACCAACGTGGCAGCCATATAGCACATTGTTTTTTTTTTTTTTTTTTGGTAAAAATAGCACATTGTTTTTGGATGGGGGGTGATGTGGGTTTGAATATTTAGAATAGTTTTTTTTAAGTCTTTTTATATAATTTTTTATATCATTTAAATAATTAAATTTTTTATTTATTTAAAAATCGTGATATTAAATATATTTATTTATTTATTAATATATAAAAATTTGTATAAAAAATATATGAAAGTTATATAAAAAAATAATATAAAAATATTATCCTTTGTTTGAGGTGACCTTTTTTTTAAAAAAATTATTTTTAACATTAAGAAATGGTTTTTACATCGTTCCCTTTTCCTAATTTGCACAACTATGTACAAGAACAGGGAAAAATAAACTAGAATCAAATCAAACCAGATTCAATAAAAATTTAAAGCAAAATCCGGCTAGATGATGGTTTTTTGGCAAGATCCGAACACAAATTAGATTTTTCTCATATAATCAACAATACCCAAAGAGGAAAACACCTTAGAATTGAAGAAAGATGAGGTTTTGTTTGAAATTGAATACAGGACTCTAATGGTCTTCTTCTCGATACCCAGTCTGCTCTCTTTTCCCCTTCAACTGCATATCTCCCTTTCTGATTCTCTATTTGATCATAGCAAGAGACTCCCTTCACCAAAGAAAATAATTTTTTTCCAATACAAGTTACATGGACTCGTGCCCAAAAGCCAAACATGAGATTTATTGAAAATTCCTCTCCATTCTTTGAATTTTCATCTGGTCTTCTTTAGATTAACTTGGGCCACAATAAAAGAGAAAATTAGAGAGGGAGACAAAAGTGGGGTGGTTCACCTCTTCGAACTTTCATTGGATCTAATAAATTCTGAGTCCCCCCTCTTCTGTCTTGATTTTTGTTGCTTAAATTTTGGTAAATATTGGAGAAGAACAAGAAGAGTTCTGAGCGGTGGAAACTGAGTAAAAGCTTTTAATTTTTTAAATTAAACATTTAATTTTTTTTTTTTTTTAATTACAAGTCAGAAACTACATGACTACCACATCGGTTTGTCTCTCATTTCCATCCCCAAAATTCATCCTCTTGGTATCACTCATATTTTAAATAACATAATTTATCCTATCCAGCACAATATACTCCGAAAGTCCAATTTAACTTGGAAAGAGGATTTTTCAAGCAAACTATACGAGGGCTTTGCCCAAAATCGACCTGGGCTTCAAGCCCAGTTATATTTCTTTGTAAATAGTAATCTCAAATTCATATGCCTCTTTTTTTTTCCTTTCTGTTTTTTTTCCGACCCTGCCGGCCTAAGTGCCTATAGCCTCAGTTTCCGCTAAAAAATGGTGAAAAGTGTAGTAAATTAACAGAATAGAAAATCAGAACCAGCAATCTCGTCTTCTCTCCTCTTTCACAATTCCAAACGTAAAACAAATTTCCTGCATTTTTACTATCCTCTGCCCACCAAACATTACAAAGTCAGTTCTGGTCAGTAGGAATCAGCCCCCCAGGTGTCAGGTTCACGACTAGGCCCCCGCTTCCCCTTCCCCTCATTAAAAATAAAAACATATGGTTGCCCCCTTTTAAAAAAATTAAAAATTAAAATATAGAATCAAAATAGTCCAACCATACACCATTCTTTCCAATTTCATTTTCAAATTTCGAGCGTTACCAATAAGTAATTACTAGCGAAAGGCCTCATCTTGTTTATTTTGATTTCCTTGGTCCAAATCAGATCCAAGGCCCTGCCACTAGTCTATCCACAACTAGAAAATCGAAATCTTCCGTGGAGCCTTGTTTCTACCTTAAAAGGACAATGTTGTATGTCCACGTGTATACCCAAAAACCCATGCCACAGTAACTGAGCTGCAACAGTACATTAGAAAAAGACAGCAACGTAGTGGTGCCCCTTTCTCTAGGTCAAATGGCAACATTTTCGTACCCAACCAGTGCTCCCACCCAGCCCCAGCCCCAGCCCCAGCCCCCACTTTCCCTATATAATTTATTCTGAGCCATCACAAAATGACGCAGAACATCACATGCTTTGTCATGGATACCATCCGACAACCATATCCAATGGGGCTGGCATATCTCAATAGTTTAAGCACTGAAACACCGCAAACAATAATATAATTGCTTACCCCTTTGGTTGGAGATGCAAATTAAATGCTCCCAAAATATGTTGACAACAAACATAATTATAAACACAACAACCACAAACGAGTTAATACAATCAAGTTGGGGTTACAAATAACTTGCGGGTCTTTCACCACAGAAACACACAAAATACGGGAGCTTGACAAACAATGCACTTTACAAACTTGGTGATCCTGTATGAAAACAGGAACTCAGTCTGGTCTCTTACCTGATGGAAATCTTAAAGGTACTCCCAAACACTAGCTTTAGTGGGTTTATGATTCAAATAGACTGTAACAGGCGCATAACGTAAATTCACTCACAATGACAAGATAATAGTGACATTTATAATTAAAACAGATAAGCCATGACCTCCTACCCAGTTCAGCATCCTCTCATCCAAGGTGTTCTTCAGTAAGTATTGTGTTTAGGAGATTTTTTATCCTTCCTGAAAGGTTACTGGATGGATAGCAACAATCATGTGTAATGCAGGCTAGCTCCTGTTTCTGGATCTCTCCACTGCCCTTGGGGCTGCATACAAGATAAAAAAATAAATCCATGAAAAAGAATTCATAAGGAGTATACATGATAAAGCTTGTGTCATATGCCTCATTGTAATCAGATAGCACAATCCTTTCCTTTGTTTTGTTACAAATGGTGGACCATGTTCAGATTGATTGTCAAATAAAGCCTGGGTAGTTTAGATGCAGCATAAGCAGCGCATAAGCAATCACATTGTTTAGGAAAACATCAAGTATTTACTTTGTGTGAATGTGCCATAGCGGAAGGATGAGATTCAAGCTTTTTAACTAGGAGTAGAATATACTTACCAAGTCCAATTGCATCAGAGCTCTTCATGATCCTCAGCCTTTTACAAGTATCAGTAAACATCCTGCAACAGTCTCAAACAATGAACAAGACAGCAGTGGACATTCTTCAACAAGGTATTATGCACATCTTAGTTCTAAGGTAATATGATTTAAAAAAGACAGAAAAAGTACATTCTACATTGAAATTTTGCCACATTGATGAAGATTAAACTACTGAAACTAAAGCACAATGCAGAAAAGTTGAAATACACCATACAATAGAAACAGGAAAAGGTGGTGCTCATCAAAGAAGTTGAATATTGCAGTTCAAATCCATAGGTAACTTAAAGGCCCCAGCCAATTCAGCTGTTTATCTTTACATTTTTATTGTTGACAAGAAATTCCATAGCTAATCTAGAAATGAAACCACCTACCACAAAATACACAAGGGTAGGGGGAAAAAAATCAAAAAATAAGTACGCACATGAAAGTGTGGTAGTAAACTAACATCAAAAAGACCCATGCTTGTGGTAACAACATAATACTAATAGGATATGTCCTTGATTATATATATTTATATATATATATATATATCACAGGAGTTAAGATTTGGGACATAATGACTTCTGGCATTAATAGTGAAACTTAATATATGAAACCATTATCTCCTTCTATATCTTCCACCGGTGACATTAATTGGTGCTTTGTGCTCTACTTCTATGCTCCACAGACACCTTATAGACATTTCTAAGTAATGGTTATAAATGGTGACACTTATTCACATCCTTCATGCTTTACTGGATTTTATGCAGATTTTCCTCCCATGCACCTACAATCCCCAGCTTCAACCATCATAATATCATATACTCTCACATTTCATAATTCACACCAATGCATAATTGTCTGTTAGGGTAACTTCCAAAATTCTTTAATCATTACAAATGGTTGCACTTTTGCTAACACACTAAATACACACTTATACAGGTTTGAATAACTATGATTGAAATAATGTCCATAAGAAATTATCACCCAACAAACAAAGTGCACAAACAGAGAGGAGCAAACAGAGAAAGGTATAGATACTTACTCCCATGGGACATCACCAACAAGCATCCAATCGCCATCTTTATCCTCATATGTAAGAACATATTCTGACCCATGCAACAGATCCTTCAACTTGCTCTCACTCAAGCCCTCCCTGCCTTGAGCACCATGAGATCCATATTGCCCTACCACCACAATAAAATAGCAGTAACTGGATTGATGCTAACTTATTATCTGTTATAGCTCCTCATTTCCATGAGAGAAATGTTGTTATTAAAAAGAAACTTCATAGATTGAGAAAGCTCTCACCTATGGTAAAACAACTGAACATCTTCTCAAGGGCAGAAGAAAGGTCCTGATATTTAGAGTAGTTTTTCAAGTCTACTTTTCTCAAATAAGGAGCACCATCCATACTGACTTTCACAAAGAGAACACCGGGCCCTGCCTTTCCATCTACCTCGTCAACATTCTTTGAAGTGGTGGCCAATGTGTTCTTCCGAAATGATCTGATTGGGGGCCAACCCACGACCTGTGCCCTGCAAAATCATGAAAGGTTGAAGATGTTCTAACGCATAAGCCTAAACTTATCCGCTGAACTCAGACTCACTTTTACCTAAAACTCAGTCAGACTTACTTGGTAGCAGGTGCACCACTATTGTTGTTTGTGGAACCATTATGATTAGGCCTGGTTTCATTGGTGGCATGAGGCCTGTCTAAAACCTTTTGAGTTGCCATCTCTTTCGCTTCAGTTGGTTGAGCCCCAAGGTTTTCAAGCCCAGAACCTGGTTTCAGGCCCAAGTTCGATGTTGGCCTTGGCGACAGCATGGCATTTACTTCTGAATTGGAAAGAAATTTTCCCTGCACCACATATTTGCCATGTCCAAGTTAAACCAGTATGAAAATACGCTCTACTGCAAACCATTAATGGCATGTAGATCACCTCTGAGAACCCGTCCATTGCATCAGAAAATCCTCTCTTGTTGCCTGAAACAACAGTCTTCTGTGATGAAGAGCAGTGACCATCACTTGAAGGATGCAAAGGGAAAAGAGGCTTCTCATCAAGTTGCGCAGAGCTTATCAGGCAAAGCTCCTTATTTCTGCCAGGAGATTGAGATCCAGGAAGCCCAAGCCTGAGCTCAGTTGCCTTCAGATTTAGGCTAGCCTTTCTATCATCAGGCGTAGGAGATGGCACTGAGCTGTCCACTGAAGAGCAATCAGACAAGCCCATGTAGTTACGTTCCTTCAGTTCAGCACTATTCTGGCACACACTATCAATGGAACCTGAAGAAGCAAGTAAAGTAACATTGCTCTGACCTGGCCCATCGTCCTCCACGCCAAGTAGTGGCGGAGACATCAGAATTCAGAGACGTTTAACCCTGATCGTTTGCAGCCTGCTTAATTTATGGAACACAAATATCTTAAGAAATCGAAGTGGCACAAATTTAACTCCAAGTATTGTCAAAGCAATAAAGCAGAAAATAAAACTCCTATAATATCTAATCGAACATCCTTAAATCACAAACTATTAATAATATAATGTCAAACAATCATTCTAAAATAAAAAATAAATTGGCGCGAGATTAAACAGATTGTGAATAATTGAATTAAACGCCGACCTAAATAACGAGATCTTGAATTTTAAGGCCTAGGAAAAGGTACTTCACTTAGATAATACAGCAGAATATCAGGAAGAAGAACAAGGAAATCAACAGGGGAAGCAATCTTTGCACTATGATTGCAAAGCTGTACCAGTATATAAATATATATATATATATATTTTCCTTGTACAGTCGGTCCATTTAGGCTCAGTTATTTGTCAATTGGTGTATGTGAGATGGAATCACAGTAACGAAATCTCAATGCAATTAGCATCCACTGTTGCTCTCCATACTCTGATCTATCAGATTATATAGAAAATCGATTCTCATAAAAATGAAAGAGGAAAAATAAAAATTTAAATATAGTAGTGAATAAATTTGTTAATCAAAAAATATCAGATGTATAACAGATAATTTAGAACTCAAGTAATATTTCGCATCGATGAAAATAAATTTATTATAAATCAATACAGAAAT